TGTCTCTGTGGGGGTATCTGTACAGGTGCAGGGGGTTGATTTGTCTCTGTGGGGTTGTCTGTATGGGTGCAGGGGTTGATTTGTCTCTGGTGGTGTCCGTGGGGTGTCCATGCAGGGGTGGGTCTGCATGGGTAAGAAGGTGGATATGTCTGCATGTGTGTGGTGGAAAGGTGGCTGCATATGGGGGTGTATGTGTGAGCATCTCTCCCTCTACCTTGCTCCATTCCTGCAGGCTTTGATAAATGCCTCTCCCCATACCTTGAACTTTTCTATAAATGCTGTTGCTAAGATACAGCGATCAGTAAGAACGACTTTAAATCCAGAGTCTTCAGTAGGATTCTGGGCACCTTCCTCCAGGGGGCGGCTTTGGGGAAATTGGAGGCGGCGTGGGTGTGTGTGTGTTAAAGACCAGCCAAAAGGAGAAAGTGCTCCAAGAGATAAGGAAGGATCCTGCGGGATGTGTAAACGATGTCTCTCTAGGGCAGAAATACTTTTCAGCTCAAGGGGCACCTCCGAGAGGGAGGGAGCGAGACTGTGAGGGGCTAGTTGTGTCGTCGTAGGGAGTAGCCACAAGACCAAAAACACAGAACAGATTTGAAGCCGAAGTAGAAAAATGCAGTGGGAACAGCAGAGAAAGGAGGCTTGAATGGTGAGACCAACCGCACAATGGAATCACGTTCCTGAGGAGCAAATTCACTCAGAATCAGTATGTGGCTAAATGAGAACTTGTTGGTCAACGTGGGGATAGCCAAGCCCAGAGAAAGCAGCCAGGGCTGGGCAAGGAGTGTACTAGGGTAGGTGTCTTCCAGTGCTGGACTGGCTGTCAGGGAGGCTTAACAGATACTGACCACCCAGCTGTCTTGGTGCTGGACTGTCTGTGACTGGGGGTGGGATTGGGGCTGATACCCCTAACCCCGCAGTCCCAGCGCTGGACTTTCTGTGAGTAATAACCCTCTCTCCACCCCAGACCCATCCTTTCTTCTCCCTGGACCCAGTATCTTGGTCTGCAGTCTAAGAAGCAAACCCACAGCCACTGCAGGGAGTTAGCCAATCTCAGTGGCTAGACCAAAAAGGCCATTCTGATTGTGGAAAAAATTCCAGCTGTCATCTGGTCACCAGGAAGAGAAGGGATCATGACAAACTTCCAGAGCTCCCATCTATGGCATGGTACAAAAGGCAACAGGTACCGGAGAGGAAAGGGCCTAGATCCCACAATGATAGAGGTAAATAGGTAGATGTCTTGATCCTGCTATTAGGTGGCATCACCACAAGGGCAATGCTGGGTAATTCTGAAGCAGGAAGCACAGCTGGAGGACGTAGTGGAGATGGCATTGACCTTCTGGGAAGGGAGGCAGCTGGTGGCTTATTCCTGAGCAGTGAGAGTAGCAGCCAGAAGAGGACGCAGCTGGAGAGAGGCAGCTCAGAGTAGATGGGGAGCAGACACATGAAGGTTTTCCATCTCCTTTTAGACTGGCTACATGACTGCTCTAGCTCCTGCCTTAGGGAGGGAGGGATGCCTGGCTGTCAATTATATTATCAATGTACTATACATGCCACCTTGGCCTTGGCCATAGGATGAAGTAGAAACCCTTTGCCAGGTTGATGGATTAGGGGGAGCTCATGGTCAACCTCTGCAGCCCCCTCTGCTACAAGAGATCAGGAATGAAACCTCAAAGACATTTTTGCCTGCAACACCTAGGTGCAGAAACGCTAGGCTGCTCTGCCCTGCAGACGGGACTCAGAGTGCTGTCGATTTCACTAGGCCGTTCAGTGTCTCCCACCATGGAGCTGGTTGAAAAATGGTATGTTTGAGGGGACATGTTCAACAGTTTTTATTTTTTCAAGATATTTCGTGAAAAATTGCAACACGTTCTAAGTTTTGCACTGAAACAAGCTTGCCCTCCCATGTTTTCTATCTTTTCCTCCCTGTTCCCCCCTTTTTTCCAGTTGCAAAATGGGAGGAGGAAACAAATAGAAAAAGTCCGAAAAAAAATTTAGTACCAAAAATTGTCTGCAGAATTTTTCCTTGTTGATGAAAAGTCTGTTTTTCATGGGGGGCGGGGGTAAGGGGAGTGAAAATTTTCAACTAGTCTGTCCCACAGCCCTACCTCCCCCTCCCCGTGGTGAGTTCACGGCTGCAGTCTGCTCGTGTTGCCGTGTGCAAACTGCATGAATGTGGCTGGCCCTGTGCATCCCTTCTGGTTTGGGCCCTGCAGTGAGCTGGCTCTGGGAACGATAGGGGCTGAAGTCATGCATAGCAGCTAGTTGAATTCTGAACATGTTCAGGGGGATTTGTTCTAATCAGACGTGGAAATGGATTTTTCTATTCTGGCTGCAGAGACACAGAGATAAGGGTGCCATCAAACCCTCCGTCACACAAAGGGTTTCATTCTTATCACGTAGAGACCAGAGCTACAAGTCTAGCAGAGGCCACAGCGCTTCCAGCAGCCCCTGAAATGCCTCTTCCCTGCTTGTGTTTGATCACAGTCAGGATGCTTAGAAATAGAAGGACCCCATTCTGCTGGCACTGCAAGAATGTGTGTGTGTGCGCACCAGCACACGCATGTGTGTGTGCATTCAAAGCTGGGCTCTGATTACTGACCTTGAAAATATACTCACAACACAACACCCTATGTACCCCCACTAAGCCTAATGATACACAGTCTGTACCCACACAATCACTGAGCTGTACCTGCTCTCTGCTTGACCATACCCTGCTGCTGTAACTTCTTTGAAGAGAACTTTGCAGAGATGAAAAGGGCCACATGGAGGGGTTCGGCCTAACTGAGGGGAGGGCACGTTACAAGGCTGCGCTGCTTACACAGCCTGCACTTGATGTCCTTCTCAGCTATTTTCAGGAAGCCATTGTTTACATGATCCGTATGGTAAAACAGCAGCTCCGATAAGGTGAATGGCAAACCTACGCAGGCACATGGCGTGTGCCTTCGCTTCTGAATTGTTTGGGAGCATGGGTCAAGGCTGCAGGCTGGGGGTGGTTTCTAAACATTTCTTGGTGCAGGGGAACCAAACAGATAAAAACGCAGAGAGATGTGAACAGATTCGATGCTCCCTGCTCTCCTGGGGATGCAATAGAAAACTGAAACTCTTTATCTGCTTGAACGAGTGGAAAATATGCAAATATTTGCTCATGAAAACTTAATGTTCTTTGCCTTCCCAAGCTTAAAATATGCAAACGCACACATAAGGCACCCACCTCGCACAGATCTCATACCCAGACAGACAAAACGCCCACCACAGAAACACAGTCACAGCGCCCATCTAAACACATGCACACTCAGCGTAACATGTACCATCTAATATGTATACGCTCCGCCTGTGGGACACAAATAGGGTGACCAGACAGCAAATGTGAAAAATCGGGACAGAAGGGTGAGGAGTAATAGGAGCCTATATAAGAAAAAGACCCAAAAATCTAGACTGTCCCTATAAAATCGGGACATCTGGTCACTTTAGACACAAATGCAACCCTAAAAACATACACGCGGATGCATACATGTAAAACATATATGTGCATGCTGACTCATGTATGGTACCTATGCGGGCATTTAGAAACACACTTGCAACACATCCTGTTCCCTGCAAATGGTGTTATGTCAGCATCTCCTGTTAAATTAGGAGCAAGGGGCTGTGGGTCAGACTGCAGTACAGGAAGACACCTTGCCTAGCACATTCTGTGTCTGTTGTCAGCCATAGGTACAGCGGCACCCATGTTTTTAAGTGCTGCAGTAGGCAGGGCTAACCTGCTTGGGCACCACGGCTTCATCTGACACTCACCGCAATAAGTGGTAGTCTTTCCATTGACCGTAGTGGGATTTGGGCTGGGCCCCATACAAAGAAGTCTTATAGCGTTGCCAACACAGGCAGCTGCACTTCCTGCTCACAACGGGGCACAGAACGTGCCAGTGTGGACAAGGCTGGAAGCAGAGGGAAAGTTTAACTGTGCCTGTAAGTGCTGCTCCCCGTTTCTCCTGCAGGGGGAGCTATTTGCTCACATTGGCCCCTAACCGGCCTGGTCGCATGCCTTCCCCCCGCCCCCCCATGTCAGGGGCTGTCCAGTTCCCAGCACAGCTGTCAGGGCAAATAGGATTTGAGGGGGCAGGAGTAGGGGTGATCAGGGCCCAAAACATGAGATTCCCATCACTCCCTTGCAGACAGTTCCTAGCGGTGGCCAAGGTAACACTACCACACGTGCTGCCCAACACAAAGCATGCAGAATATTTCCTCAGAGTGGGAGGTTGTTTTGTCCTGCAGAAGTGGGGTCTCTCCACACTGGGGTGCCCTGTGCTGGGAGGGGCACAGTCTCCTCCACTCTGACAATGTGGAATTTTGCCAGGCAGCTGAGTATGCTGGACGGCTTTGGGGCTGGGCATGAGGTGAATGGGAGGGGGTGGGTCATGTGACCAAAGGGGACCCCCTATGTCAATAGCCAGTACTGAGCAAACAGCTTAGATGGGAACCCAAACCGGCCCTGCACTCCAGCTGTCTGTAAGACCCCTCTCATCTAAGTGACTTTAACGTGCTCCTTGCTGGGGGGGCCTGGGCGCAAGGCCCTGCAAATGGGGCAGATGCAGTGGTGCAATGTCACCATCTGTGTACCGTGAAGCAAGCGCCATCGCACTGAGCTGCTGCGCAGGAAGAGCAGACGAATGCAGAAGCAAACATTGACGCAGGCAGCACCTCACATTTTCTAAAGGGGCCCTAAAATCCTGCAGCTGCCCTCCAAAGGACACGGACCAGTCTGGAAAAAGAACAGGAGTACTTATTGCACCTTAGAGGCTAACACATTTATTTGGGCATAAGCTTTCGTGGGATACAGCCCACTTCATCAGATGCATGCAGTGAAAATACAGTAGGAAGAGATATATACACAGAGAACATGAAAAAATGGGAGTTGCCATACCAACTATAACAAGACTAATCAATTACAGTGGGCTATTATCAGCAGGAGAAAAAAAACTTTTGTAGTGATAATGACGATGGCCCATTTCCAACAGTTGACAAGAAGGTGTGAGTAACAGTAGGGGAAAAATTAGCATGGGGAAATAGTTTTTACTTTGTGTAATGACCCATCCACTCCCAGTCTTTATTCAAGCTTAATTTAATGGTGTCCAGTTTGCAAATTAATTCCAATTCTGCAGTTTCTCGTTGGAGTCTGTTTTTGAAGTCTTTTTGTTGGACAATTGCAACTTTTCGGTCTGTAATTGAGTGACCAGGGAGGTTGAAGTATTCTCCAACTGGTTTTTGAATGTTATAATTCTTGATGTCTGAGTTGTGTCCATTTATTCTTTTGCGTAGAGACTGTCCAGTTTGGCCAATTTACGTGGCAAAGGGGCATTGCTGGCACAAGATGGCATATATCACATTGGTAGATGTGCAACGATAGGTTCCTGGGTTAGTGTTTTTGGTATGTGGTGTGTGGTCATTACATAAATTAAAAACTATTTCCCCATGCTAATTTTTCCCCTATTGTTACTCACACCTTCTTGTCAACTGTTGGAAATGGGCCATCCTCGTTATCACTACAAAAGTTTTTTTTCTCCTGCTGATAATAGCCCACCTTAATTGATTAGTCTCATTATAGTTGGCACGGCAACACCTAGTTTTTCATGTCCTCTGTGTATATATATTTTCCTACTGTATTTTCCACAGCATGCATCCGATGAAGTGGGTTTTAGCCCACAAAAGCTTATGACCAAATAAATTTGTTAGTCTCTAAGGTGCCACAAGTATTCCTGTTCTTTTTGCTGATACAGACTAACACGGCTACCACTCTGAACCTGGGACCAGTCTGGGGCTCTCCTTCTCTCAATTCAGGCTCCATCTAGCCTTAATTCATCCTCCGGCAGAGCTGTGGGTGGCACTGCACTGGGTGTGTAGAACACAGGCCTCTGAGGGTCTACAAACATGAAGTAATTTAGCCTCATAACACCCCTGCAAGGTAGGAATTAGGGCCGAGATGATCAGATGTTACTAGTGATTCTGGGGGGCCCAACCTGAGCTGCCTTAAAGGGGCTTGGTTGTCAGAGGGCAGGAGCTCAGCACTTCCTGACAATCAGGCCCCTTTATGGTGTCTTTTGGGTACCCAAATATTTAGGCACCTAAAATGACTGGTCATTTTTCAATATCTTGGCCTATCGGCCCATTTCACTAAAGCCAGCAGAGCCTAAGTGACGTGCCTGTAACACAGTGAGTCAGTAGCAGGGTTGGGAAGAGAACAGAAAATCCTGACTAACAACTCCCTGTGCTATTGGAAAGCACTCACTCCTTTCCAGGACAGAGCTGGCTCTGCTCCTAAGGAGTAGGCCCTGCTCTAAAAGGGGAATCAGCTGTTGAGTTGAACAAGTAATGATGTGGGGGGAGGGGAGATTGCTCAGCCTGGTACAGTCCAGAGTGTGGAGGAGGGACTCACAAAGGACCAGACCGTCTTCCAAGGGAGGATGGAAAAGACAGTAATTACATAAGAGCCCTTGACCAGCAGCTGGTTTCAATCAGCTGGACCTCCTCTCACCCGTTCCTCTGGCAGTGTTAACAAGGAGCAGCCGAGGATACACGTAGCTCAGTGCAGGGCCTCTCTTAAGGGGTTCAGAGGTAAGGGGTTCCCTGTCTTCCACTCACAAGGCAAAGTACCTGGAGAGTAGGAAGGGGTGGCAATAGAAAAGGTACTTAATGATAAAGGATAAGTGGCTGGGAAGAAGTGTGAAGGGGCTATTTGCCTGTGTCTAGATATGCATAATGCCTCCAGCCTAGAGAAAAAGCCAGCTCTGCTCAGTGGCTGTGGAAGATGCAAGGAAATGAATGTGTACGTGTGTGTGAGCGACAGAGATAGGGTGACCAGATGTCCCAATTTTATAGGGACAGTCATGATTTTGGGGTCTTTTTCTTATATAGGCTCCTATTACCCCCCACCCCCGTCCTGATTTTTCACATTTGCTGTCTGGTCACCCTAGACAGAGAGAAACGGGAAAAGGAGCAGAGCAGAGGGCTTGGACTGCAGAGGGTTGGAGGAGCTCCTGTGATTAGGCCAGGAAGGGGTCAGTAGTCCTTCTAGATAGGTTAGGGGCCACTTGCAGGGGATTGGGGGTGAGGGGGAGGAGACAGGGCAGGGGGGTCAGTCCCTGTAGATAGGCTAGGAGTCATGTGCATGTGATGGGTGGGGAGGGACAATGTAATGAAGGGGACATTGGGGAAGTTCATTTCTTTCATTCTCCAGGTTTTGTCCGAGGGGGGAGCAGCTGCACTTCAGCAGAGAGTACTGGAATCCAATCTGGCAAGAGCTTTCCAGTGTTGTCTTCAAGGCAGAGAGAAAGCGTGTGTGTGTGCGTGTGTGCGCGTGTGCAAAGCCCTGTGGATTCCCCATGTGCTTCTGATCAGATGATAAAATAGCCCATGAACTCTTCAGTAAACTGTGTTTTCACCTACCCCGCTAGCTCACAAGAGTGTAGCGAGAAGATGGAAGCCAACTTTCTCCCACTGCTCCAAGGAAAACGTCGCCCATAGATAAGATGCAGAGCTGCAAAAGGGGCTGGAAAATATCCTACCTGGAAATATTCAATAGCTCCCAGAGGAGCTAGGCCAAGATGACTCAGAGATTGGCTCTACTTTCATATTAACTGTGCTGCGGCTTCACTTTCACACCCCACAGGATGCTCCCAACCCTAATTCAGCCTCACCACTAGCCATGGGAGGGAGGCAATTCAGGGTCCTTGGGCCATAATCTCTGTCACAGCTCCATTAGCAGGGAATTTGGCCTAGCATCCCCATTTTACATATGGGGAAACTGAAGCACAGAGTGGTGACCAGGCAGGTCAATGGCAGAACCTGGATTAAAAGTCAGGAGTACTGTTGTGAATTGCTGAAGAGCACCTCTGCCCTGGTGAGGCCACCCTGATGGCTGGGACGAAAGGGGCATTTGTCTATGTGCATTCATTTGTGGGGTTCCAGTAGAGCAGGGAGGTCAATAACATCCCCAGTGCTTCCCCTCCCTCCTCCGCCCTATGCTCTCTGCACATATTTTCCCAGCCTTTCTGTTTGCTTCTCCAGTGGTGCTGGGGTTCCTGCCAAGCCCCAGCTACTCCTCGGGAAGCGAGCCGGCTGTAACTGCCTCTGACTCCCAAACTAAACAATCGGAAAAATGTTTCCTTTCCTCAGGCTCCCATGGCCTGTTAAACATTCTCCAGCTTTCCTCTGGAATTACAGGAGCGGAGCAAACCTGCTGAGTTGGCATTTATGCTCAGAGGGTGGAGGGGGAAATCGCTTTGCTCACCCCGGCCACCCAGGCCCGAGCCAAGTCTAGCTAGAGAAGACGCCTGGAAGGCCTCTGGCTTAGCTGCATGGGGAATTGAGGGCAAAGGGTACCCTGCAACAGCACAGCATCTCGGCCCCAGGCCCCTCACGCAAGGCCCACCACAGATGGCGTGACGAGATAGCCCAGGGCTGGCTACAAAGAGCCACGTACACATCTGGCTCGAGAGAAGAGTTGGTGGCGTGGGCTTTCCCCAGCGAGGTCATGTTCCAGAGCGTTTCCGGCTGGAGACGCCCTTTCTGGAGAAGATTTCAGGCAGAGGACGTGACCCGTGCACCAGAGAGGGGACCGGTCTGTGCCCCCGCCAGAGAGGGAACCAAAACAGGGAAGAGACAGATCCCTACCCGAGCCAGCAGGAGGCGCTGTAAGGAATGGAGCAGAGGCGGGAACACTGGGGAAAGCCTGCCCTAGCCACCCAGTAGGGATTGGGGCCTGGGGGGTGAGCAACAGCTCTGCCCCAGCGGCAGCAGGGGGGCTAATGCAGGGGACGGCGGGGGGATGTTTGTGCAGGGCTCGGGGGACGCTGTGCGCCGCAGCAGAGCAGAGGAGGCAGGCAGGGAAAGGTCAGGCCTGGAGGGACTGTCCCGGCCAGAGGGGCAAGTGATGGACGGGGACTTGCCCAATGCCCCTGTGCGTGTCAAACCCGAGCTCTCCCCGGGCAGGCAGCTGCTGCCACTGTCCCTGGGGGCCTGAAGGCAGGGCCCGGGGCTGGGGGGGTCTCCTCGCTTTCCAGCTTGCTCCAGGCAAGGGTTAAAGGCGGCGGTGCGGAGCGAGCCGGGCCGCGGGGAGAAGGGGGCGCGCCGGGGGCGGGGAGGGAGGCAGGCGCAGCCCGGCTCTGCGCCGAAGCCAGCGGTTTGCGGTGCCTTTGCCAGCAGCGAGCTCCCCGCGCCATGGGACTCGGGGCGAGCGGCGCTAGCAGAGGCTGCCCGGCCAGCAGCGGGGAGTGAGCGGCTCGCAGCGCACGGGACCCTTCCGGCGGCGGCCTGTCGCCTCTTCTGCAGGGTGAGCCGGGGGCGGAGGGGCGAGGGCTGCGGGTTTGATCGCAAGCGCGGCTCGCCCGCCTCGCTGGGGCCCATTGCGCCCTCCAGCCCCGGTGTAGGCTCGACCAGGCAGAGCTGAGCAACCACACGTGCCTATCCCGGCTCCCCGGCCCCTTCGGCGCTACTCCTCCGCAGCTGGAAGGCTCCTGCTGTGGCAGCACCGCAGGGCCAGATGTGGCTCTCGGATGCCTGCCCCAGGCTTCATGCCCCAGAGAGCAGAAGTTGGCCACTGCTAACTAAGCCTCAAACGCCCCCCCCCCCCCGGGATGGAAGAAATGCTTACCGGGGGGGGGGGGGGGTGAGCTGCAGGGGGAAGTGACTTGGCCAAGGTCACAGACTCAGTCAGTGGCAGAGGACTCAGCAGCATGTGGTTTCTAGTCCTGTGAGCGGGTCACTTGGCTGCACCTTGTGACCTTGGCGGTGATGGAACAGTACCCACTGGGGTGTGAGCTGGTTAGATGCTCTCTAATGGGATTTAGAGCAAGACTCCAATTAAAGAAAATACCCATTGCTGAGTGAGCTGCAAGAAGTTTGTCTGTGACCCTCCCCCAAGCTTAGAAACCGATTTGATGCTCTCATGAGCTAACAGATTTATCGTTCCCCTACCAGAACTCCTGTCCTTCCTGATAGCAGCAGACAGCTCAAGAATACCCTGGCAATGTGCCTTCCCCCCTCCGTGACCCCCCAGATATGTCAGCTCAGAAGTAGGTATGCTTTCAGCTTTGCCAGCGGTATGAGGTGAGCAAATGACCCAAGCAGGATGTTTTTAGTGTTGTAAGGTCACGACCCTTATCGCAGAGCTAACCTCTGAGACCTGAGTTTGTTTTCATCACCAGGGGCTCTTGGATTTGCCTCTTCTCCTTTTATTGCAGCCTGAAGATTGAATCCCCGGGCGCTGGTGCCCTGGGTTCCAGTGGTTACACTATGGGTGCTGGTGCTCTAGGTTCTGGAGGACAGGCCGCCTCTTAGTGGCAGGACCCCAGGCTCCAGGGAGTCAGGCGCCCTAGCAGTGACGCCACTGCGGCTTGGACTGCAGCCTTAGCCCTCCAGGGACAGGCATGTATTAGACTCCAAAGTAGCAGCTCTCTACAGAACCGTTACGAACTCTGTCTTTCTGTCTCCTTCCTTCCCTCTTTGCTCCCGCGATGAATGAACTGGCTTTAGCCACAGAGAATGGAGGTGCAGTGCCCTGTCCTTTCATGTTGGCCTCTGCCTTGGCTCAGTCATCCCCTTCTTCTGTCTCTCTCTCTTACTGGCTCATGTCTTCCAGGTCACTATGGTAATGATTCAGCTACGAGCTCGCGTGGCCTTCCTTGTGCTCCCTCTGTTTGTATTTGGGGCACCTACCGATGAGCCTGACCCCAAAGAAGCAACAACCCTCCCAAATGGCTGCAGACGCTGCTGCGACCCACTGGATTCCCATGGCTCCTCAGAGGTCACCCCCGGCCCTGCCGGACGCCATTCGTCACTGTACCCAATGCCGGAGGTGCGTCCATACATCAACATCACCATACTGAAGGGTAAGTGCCAAGCCAGTGCGCCTGGGACCCAAGGTCTGCTTTGGAACCAGCGTCGCTGTAGTGAAAGGTAAGGTTCTGTGCTGGCATACCAGGTGCCCACAGACTACCAGTGACTTCAGTGTCACCATACTGAAGGGCAACAGTGCATCAGTTATACCCATCAAACACCCAGTTGCCAGACTGAAAGGCATGCCCCAGCATTCCAGTGCCTGATGTCCAGACTGATGGACGTCTAGTTGTCTGTCATTATGAAGGGTAAGTGCCCATGCTGGTACATGTAGACTTATGCCCATGTAGCCAGAGAGGTGGAATCAGCCTGTAGAATGCCAGTTTCCCCCTGACCCAGCAGTCTTCCTGCTGTAGCCTCTGAATTCAGGGGAGCCACCTCTTCGCCTGCTTTCCACTGGCTCCTGTTTATTGCCACTGGGGGAGAAGCATCAGCAGTTGCCTCTTGCCAATCTGAACCTACTTCAGGATCAAGCTGCCCTGTAGTGCAGAGGGAGGGAGCAGCGGGTCTTTGCCCAGCCAGGAAGAAGGAGAGGGTGTGCCGTTAACAAAGGCACAGTGCCACCACTAATGTCCTGTGCAGGGAAGGCTAATGGGAGGCCATCTCCGTGGACCTCATGTCATCTGGGAGAGGGAGGAGGGGAATGACATGAGCCCTAACGTTCACTTTTCTCCCCAAGCAGCTAGGAGGATGCTTGCATGAACACCCCCACACTCATATTTGCAAAGAGTGACTCCCAGCCAAGACCTGCTCCAGGCAGCTCCTGCTGGCTTAGCTCAGGGTGGAATGGGGGTGGCTCTCCGGTGCAGATCAGCTACTTCCTCAAGGGTCCCCATTTGAGGCTTAATGCATAGGATGTGCATGCATGGTGAGTCCTGGCACTGAACGGGAGATTCTGCTCAGTTCATCATTGCTCTGCAGCCCCTTTGTGCTAGCTAGGCATAGGGGCGCTCAGAACCACCTCCACAACAGCTCCCAGCACTGGGGGCATTCTGGGGCCAGAGCAGGGAGGGGTGGCCGGGGGAACCGGTGCTCAAGGAAGTTTGTGTTCCTGCAAAGCCCCAAAGAGGCTCGTGAAACAGGGTAACAAGTTAGGGGTGTCATAGCCTGTGTGGGAGGCTGCACTAGCCCCCACAACCCCTGAACAGGGAAAGCACAGACTAGCTGTGCTGGTGCCTGCACAGGGATGAATCAGGTCCTCTGTACACAGCTCTAGTTTCTGGCCACAACCCTGGTCTCCTCAAGACAGCCCAGTGCTTGGCAGCTTTCACATCTCACTTGGTTATCTTATGGAGCGCATCCCTCTGCTTTGTTTCCTAGGAGACAAAGGAGATCGGGGGGAGCCTGGGACTCCAGGCAAATGGGGCAAAGAGGGGCCACCAGGCGAGCGGGGCCCCCAGGGTCAGAAAGGCAGCAAGGGGCAGATGGGTGCCCCGGGGGATCCGTGCAAGCACCAGTATGCCGCTTTCTCGGTGGGCCGCAAGAAGGCACTGCACAGCAGCGAGGGCTACCAGGCCCTGATCTTCGACACCGTCTTTGTCAACCTCTATGGCCACTTCGACATGTTCAAGGGCAAGTTCTACTGCTACACGGCCGGCCTCTACTACTTCAGCCTAAACGTCCACACCTGGAACTTCAAGGAGACCTACATGCACGTCATGCACAACGACCAGGAGCAGGTCATCCTGTACGCCCAGCCCAGCGACCGCAGTATCATGCAGAGCCAGAGCCTCATGCTGGAGCTGCGGGAGAACGACGAGGTCTGGGTGCGCCTCTACAAGCGGGAGCGAGAGAACGCCATCTACAGCGATGATGTGGACATCTACATCACCTTCAGCGGCTACTTGATCAAGCCCAGCCTGGAATGACTGCGCTCCTCCCTCTCTGTCCTTCTCTCTCTCTCTCTCTTTCTCTTTTCACTGCCCGCAGTCGCTGCAAACCACAAAGGAGGAAATGGACTGGGGGCTCCCTGGGCGGGTCATGGGATGGGAGGGCACTAGGGAGCCTGAAAGAAAACACCAGCTAGCCAAATCAGGGCCATCCTCATTCAAAGTGTGTCATTGACTTCCAGGTAAGCCCCATTCACCTTGAATAGGGGGTGCCTCAGGTCACCCCTGGTCTTGCTAGGCCATGTGAGCCTTCCCACAGCCTAACTCAGCGGTAGGGACACAGATAACGATACAAAGCAAGGGAGTGATGGTACAGTCCCTGGCTGTGTAGACTGTCGCTCATCTGGGACATAGAGGACCGGATCCTCCGCTGGTGTAAATCGGTGTCGCTCCACTGAAGTCAACAGAGTTATACCCAGGCACACCTGCTGTGGATCTGGCCCTAAGTATTGAAAGAGAGCGAGACCCTGTCGGCCATCAGCAAAGCTCTCCTCCAAGCCTCCCGTGGGATGCTCTCCAGTCTCAACTCCCGTGGTAGGTGCAAAGCCATCCCAGCTTTGGACTGTTCCTTTTCTGGAGGCTGAAACAGACCTGATTCTGCTCCCCCACCAGATTTACACCAGTGTAACTATCAACTTCTGCAGAGTTCCCCCTACTGCATGCTGGTGTGAGAAGAGAATCAGGCACTGGATTCCACTGCCACAGTCCCATGGGTGTGTCTGGAACAGCTGTGCTAGGAGACAATCATTCCTTTAAAATCCCACCTCCAATCCATTTGAAAACACAATAGGGAGGGACTGGCTGAGTCTGGTGGTAGGTTACACCTTTTACTACTAATGCACAGGGTCAGCTTCTGTCCAGTATCTCCCTGATACTCCAATGGAAGAGGGATAGCCAGTGGTTGCTTCGTAACCTGTACCAGGTGAATTGGGCATCTCAGTCCTGCTCCCAGTGAACAGGTGTCCACATCATTAAAACGTCCCCACTGCTGACTCTGTCTCCTTTGCTGGTGATCTCAGTGGAGAAGCCATGGAGACTGAAATACACTCCCACCCCTTGCAGTCAGGGGTGAGACACGTTGGCAGGGCTGCACGGCAAAGCTTGTGCTGCCACTGCCTGGGCGTGACCGCCGGGGTTTTCAGTGGCCCTCAGCGCTGACCTAGCTCTGCTTCCACTGACATCAAAGGGAGCTTTGCCACTGGCTTCACTGGCAGCTGAATCAGCTCTGAGTGCTTTTGCAAACCCCTCCCTACGTGTCCTGAGGACACAGTAAAGACGAGCTGCCAGGCTGTCACTGGGTCCGTTTTCGACAGGACTAAACTCACACCGGAAAGACATCAGAGGGAAAGAAAGGAGAGGTGAACACGAGAGCACTGCAGGCCAGTCTCTCTCTTGTTCATATTGCTGCCCCTGATTTACTCAGGATGAGGAGCGGAGGGGAAAGGATGAGTCCCAGGCTCTTCCCCACCTGACCCTCAGATCAGCTTGCATTAGCATAACTGGTATGAAAAGCAGGGTCCCTCCAAGGAAGGTTGGTTGGTCCTAATCAGGGGCCCCATGCGTCTGATGGAATGCCAGGGTGTGAGGAACATGGAGACTGGAATTCCCCTCTCCCGGCCCAGTGGAGTGTGGAAAGGCTCCAGAGTCGGGCTTGGGGGAGTCGTGAGGGAGCCGCATGCTGGGGGTGAGGTTTAGGAGTGAAGGAACTAGCAATTGAATTCCTCTCCCTCTCTTTTTAGAAGCCACAGACTGCCAACCCAGCTGTTGTGTATTTACAGTGTGTGGTGTCCCTGTGTCTCCCCAGAGAGGAGCAGGAATCTCTAATGCTGAATAACTTCCAGACCTGAGCTCTGAATTCCCTCCCTTTCCAATGTCACTGTTTACTTCTGCAGGGCCAGGGCCAGCTTGGGGGCTCAAACACTCCAAAATGGCAGCTGGTTGGTGCTTAAAATGCATTGGTGGGGAGGGGAGGGAGAATGTGTGTTTCATGGGCCAGCTTCAGCCCCTTGGTGCTAAATAAGATGGCAGCCCCTTGGTGCTAAACCAGGTTTCAAGAGAGTCACTGGTGCTTACTGGGAGGGGTGTCAGGGTAGCAGAGACACAAAGTACTGTGGAATTAATGGTGCTTTACATTACAGAAAACTACCAAGAACTTTTGTATATATGTTTTCAGTTTTATTAAAACTTTTTTTTGCACTTTGAGATGATTTCCCCTATAGGGTCTTTTCTTTCTGTCTCCAGTCAGGTTAAGGCAGGGGGCCCCTCTGGTGTAGGAGGCCAGAAAACCTGGCTTCTATTCCTGGCGCAGTCACTCACCTACTGAGTGATCTTGGGCGAGTTACTCTCAGTGCCTCTGTTTCCCCATCTGTCAGATGGAGATAATGATGCTCAACCTCCTTTGAGATCTATGGATGAAAGGCGCTATGTGAGATTTGTCGTTAGTAGGACATTTCTGATCCTTCATAGAAAATGTTCTCAGCTACCAAAGCTCCAAGACGGTGCAGGAGTTACTGGAGAATAAACTGCTAGCGAAGGGAAAAGTACAAATTCTTCAAGGGGGTTCTTTAGCTGAACATGGGGAGGTGGGAGTCGCTTGTAAGAGAACAGATGTTTTTTCTTGTGCTGTTGCCGATCTTGGTCCTTGTTGGCTGCTCTATACAGGAAGAACGGGCTTTCCCTGTGGTATTTCCAGGAAGATGTGACGTCTGAACCATAGCGGAGGGAAATGAAGTAATTGAATGAACGTTTACAAACGTCAGTAATGTTACCGGGGGAACGAGGGGGGAGTTTGAGAGCCAGGTTGAGGAGATGGCTCAGGCTGGGGAGATCTGTAGAGGAAAGTGGAGGCTGAGGTTGGGAGGATGCGTGGGGTACAGATCCAATTGGTGGGCATGGGTGGAGGCTTGGGGATCAGCTGGGAAGTTGGTGCAGGTTTGGAGGCCAAACGGTGGGACTGGGTGGAAGGTTTTAGAGGTGGGGTGAAAATCTGGGGAACAGGTAAATGCATGGGACTTACTTCAGCATGTTTGGGGCTTGCTGCTGAATGGAGGCTGTGCATCCTCAACTGCCGCTGAAGTGAGTGATGGCTGTGGGTGTGGGACAGGAGTAAGAGGGCCTCTGCCTGGGGACGGCTCAGCTTTGGGTCTTACGTAAGACACTGGTCTCAGCTGCCTCCTGTGTGCCAGGAGGCTCTGATTGGTTTGTAACTCATTTGGGATAGGATGGGGCAGATATAATTACATTCCTCCTCCCACTCCCCCAGACCCCCCATGGTCCCAGTGCCAGTTTCGGAGTCCAGGCTGGACCCTGGCACATCTGGTACTCCTCCGGGTCCTGCCCGAGCCACTGCCGCTTTTCTCTCCTACCCCACCCCTAGTATAATGAAACAAACAGAGAGATCCTCAGCAAACACAGAGCATGCTCACGTCCCAGTGCCATTCAGTGGAGATGCTGCTAGAATCGGCCATGTCTATTCCACCCCCTGCAGGAGCCATTCGGTAGGGTGGGGTGAGGGTCTGAGGTGCTCTGACCTTTGAGGAGCCTTTGTGTGACTTGAGCAAACAATGCCCTTTCTGTTGCTCCCTCGCTGATCACCCCACCTCATTCCACGCAAGGGAAGCTGCATTAATGGCCTAGCTAGCTCGACCACCTGGCACTGTGCGACGGGCCATCCTGACTGACTGAGACGGAAGGTGCCCCAACACACCAGTGAGGGATGGCCTGTGAGCCAGCCATTTACTAGCCCGTGTGACGTGTACTAATCTCAGGTGGGCCATGGCATTTTACCGTGTGACTCCACATATACAAGGTGAATGAGTGACACCAGGCCTTAAAGAGGTCTCACAGCCCTGCTGGCTGCATAACCATAGGATTTCATTAGTGCCGGTCAGCATCAGGGCTCGGACAGCTTGTTTGACCCACTGACAAGGCTGCTTCGCCAGCCACTGACTCACCTCAGGGTCTCTGGGCCAAACTCAGAGCTAGTGTAATCAGCATTGACTTCAAGGGAGCTGTGCTGGTTTACAGAAGCTGAGGATCTAACAGGTAAAGAGGGGGAAGTGGGAGAGCAGAGGCATGAGGACAAGCTACCCTGCTTTCTGGAGGAGGGAATGGTGGCTGCATCTCCAGCCCAGCTGGAGATTCCTGCAGTAGCTTCTTGCCACGTGTTACTCCCCTTCCCACCCCTGCAAAAAAAAGAAAAGAAAAAACAGATGGAAAAAAAATCAAGGGAGAAGCAGGGAGGGGAGGGGAGAGCCCAGCACCAAAGAGAGAGTCCCAGAAGGGGACCACCTTCAACAGCTCTGCCACACATGCAGCAGGGGGTGGGGGGGAAGAGCACCCAACACTGCCCACAGGCCAATTGTTGCAAGCTCTGAAGCAGCTGTCAGCCGGCCCCCCTGTCTAGCTGGGCACAGAGGTAGGCCCCGAGGGGAGCGCTGGTACGCGTGTCAGGACATTCAATGGGCTCTGCTGACAGGCCTGCCGGCGGCCATGGAATCTGCTCCTGCTCAGCTCCGCTGAGGCTGGGGAGCTTTGCCCAGCGTATTCGGCTTGGGAGCCAGCTGTGCTGTGATGTGGCTGATTTTCCCTCCAGCCCAGCCTGCTCTTTCCCCGCCCCTGTGAGAGGCTAGAACCCAAGTGAGGTTTAGAGCGGAGAGCAGGGAAGAATGCTCCGGCCAGCAGCACTGAGAGCTGGTATAAAAGCCGGCTGAGCAGCCCCACCGTCCCTCCCAGCTTGGTGCCCATGATGAGTTAATCGCCTCCCTCTCTTTTCCATGCTAAGTGCAGGGAGAAGGCCAGACCTTCCAGCTGCAGAGCGCCCCCTCCTGGCACCAGGTGGGCTGTTTGGAGGTGGGATGTGGCAGGTTATACAGAGACAGCAGCGTGACCCTTCGCACCATGGAGACAGAGCGCGCCTCCAGGACAGCAGCATCGTGCTGGGGGCTGGAGCACGGCCAAGTGATGAAGGGCAGACTCTCCAGCAGGGCCTAGCTCAGAGCCTCAGTCTGCAGTCACACATCCCCAGGTGGACACATCTCGCCTTTTACCAACGGAAACAGTTGCCCTTTTCAAGCACAGTCTTGCTCTTGAGACGGGTTCAGGAGGAGGCTGTTGAGGGGCTGGGGCGCCCAGCCTCCTCTGTGGGAGCGCTGTGTGAACGGCTCCCCAGGTCACTTTGATCTCCCCCTTGCACAGGTTTGAGTGGCGGGGCAGAGGACATGCACTCAGGCTTGTGACATGTTTGCAGCCCACGGGCTGGTCTTGTTGTGCCTCTGAGACACTTGCCTCACAAACTGCCAGGGAGTCACTGCAGACTGAGAGCCCTTTTCACTCCTTATTGTCAGTGGTTAAAGTAAATTGAACTAAGATGAGGGGCTCTCACCACACTGGGGGCCTGATCTATTGAAGCCACTGGGAGTCTTTCCACTGACCTCACTGGGTTTATGATCAGGTCGTGTCTGAGGGGGATGGGGAGCTTTGGGGCAGTGCCGCTTATCTCTGCTTTCAGTGGGAGAGCTCTCCTACAGCCCCTACTTTAACTCTGGCCTGTTTCCATAAACATAGTGAAGTGACTCTGACACGGACGGCTCTCTAGGAGTCCCGGGTTCCGCTGACAGAGGCCTAGATGTGACCAAATCTCCAGGGCTTCTGGATATAAAATCTGCCACAACAGAAATGTGACGTGCATGCACACACGGGTGCACACGCATGCACACAATCACTATTTTCTGGGGCCTGTCATCTGTCTGGCAAGCTCAGCTTGTAGGTCATTTAAAAAGTCCTGCATATATATTGGCTGTTGTGACACCTACATTGGGCCTCCCGGGGCTGTGTTAAAGCAATACACATCCTCAGGCAAAACATGACAGTGGCCCCCATCCCCTACATGGAGCAGTGGTGGCTGTGAGGCAGGGTAGCAGCAGACTGCCCACCCCCCACTTACCCAGCAATGGGGTGTACATTTAGTTGGGTTGGCTGGGCTGGGTTTGCAGCATTCTTTCTGCTCCTCCCACAGAGTCCTTGGCCCTGCCCTCTGAACAGTGGGTCTTGGAGTTAACAGCCATTGAGGTCCATGGGGCAGCTTGGAGCTACTGTTTCAGGCTCTCTGCAGACTCAGGCAGACAGTGCTGCTTTGGTTACACATTTTCAAGCTTTTCTTTGCAGCCATGAGGGCTAGAACCCTTTTTTTTAATTAAAGCTGAGAGTCTGCTGCTGTCATGTGACTCCAGGAACTGGGCTGCAGGCACTGGCCTGAGGTGCTTATGCTTTAATCCAGCCTCCCCCTATTGTGAGGCAGTGTCAGTATTATTATGCACTAAGTGATGACAATGCCCCGAGCGCTGGTATGCGAGTCTGTGGTGTCACAACATGATTCTTTTCTCCTGCAGGGTTAAAAACAAGCACATGGCAGCTCTTGGGGTGGGGTGAACGCGCTCTGGTTGGCCAGCATTCTGGTGGGCCCACTTTCCCCTTGTTTTAGGTTGCATTCCAGTGTCAGCTAGCTCTGTCGTTTCAAAGACCCTCAAAGGAGGCCCCTGGGTGTGAAGTGAGGGGAAGCAATCAGAGGGTCAGCTGAGGATTGAGAAAAGCAACAGGAAAGGGTCAGTGTTCTAGCTCTGTCACGTGAGCTGCTTCTCTTTGGTTAAAGTGGCTGGGTTGCATTTGTTCTGCTCAGCAGCAAGTCACACATCTGGCAACCACAACTCCTTCCACCGCCCACGCTCTTCCTCCCCCTCCCCCTCCTCCTCCTATGGCTTACAGCAGGGGAAGGGGGCTCAGGGTAGGGGGATTTTTCACTAGGCTGCCAGCATCACTTCCAATGCCAAAAGGACAAAAACAATTCTCGGAGAACTTCGCCCTGGTCCCCATTCAGTGGGGGTGCATTGATTTTACATGGTCCCGTCTCCTAGGGTGGAGGACAGTGCTGGTGAAAGGTACCAGCCGATTAATCCGTATACCAGGCTTAGTGCCGCAGGGGCTGCAGCAGTGTGCACACACACACACACACACACACACCCGCCTAAGGAATCCCGATCCTGACATGGAGAGACGGAGAGACCACATATAAAGGGTGAGCAACCCCCAGAGTTCATTCTGTCCATGGCCTGTTTCCAAGCAAAGCATTCAAGCTGAGCCAAACCTTTGAACTTCTTTGACACTCCCCTCACTAGTCAGGTGTGCGTGTGTGTGTGTGTGCGTGT